ACATGTCAACAACTTTTTTAAATAAAAACTTATTTATTTGTATTTATCAATTAGATATTTTATTTTAAATAGAAATAGATAAAACAATAAATCAAATACCTTGTCCTATTAAGACATTATAATATACATGTAATATTTTTTAGGTTAAGTTTAACTATCCAAAATTTCATATTTATTTACATATGTTTATGCTCTCTCTCCATTCTACGCAATTTAAAACTTCAAAAATATTTTCCACAAAATTTATTTGGTTTGCCTTTTCATTAGAAAAGATAGATTATTATATTTTTCGATATGTGAAATAGAATAAGACAATATATATTAGTTTTTTGAGCTTAATATGATTCATTCGAACTCAATTTTTTGTTTGTTGTTGACAACATTGATACGAGGTGTAGTATTTAATTTTTCCACTTTTTGCTTGGTTTTTTACGTTTAATAATTACCAAAATGGTAAAACTAAAATTCAGATTTTTATACAACGTAATTAAACTTATCGAGGCATTTTTGAGTTAATCGGTTTGATTTATACAAGTATAAAATAATTTTCTAAATTAGATTTAGCCACATTTCAAAAGATTTATCTATTTATAAATAATAATATCTTGATTTGGTAAATAGTAAAATGTAATCATATTTTAAATAGGATTTGAAATATTTAACTATTTGAATATATATGATACAATTTAATTGAGAATCAAACAATGTAAAAAGTAAAATATAAGAATACAGTAGATAAATATTTGATAGATTTCTGTAAATGAGTTTGTAATAACGTTTTCAATTTTATTTTATTATTTAAATGGAGTGATMTAATTTTGTCMTTTSTRTMTTRGTCTTTGATTTTTGCAAGTTATAAAATATTCAAGAGTAAAAATAGTTCAAATATAATAAAAAGTAATCCATCAACAGTTTCAAAAGTAGATATTTGAAAGGACAATTGCAAAAATGTCACTTTTGGTATATACATTTGCAAAAATGCCACTATGGATTGTCTATTTGCAAAAATGGCACAAATTATGGATTCTTAGAGCCTAAATCTTAATTCTAAACCCTAAAAAATATTTTTTGGACCCCTAAAATCCCCTAAACCCTCAAAAC